CTGCCGTTCCCAGGCCTCAAGAAAAGAGGTCCTGGCCTCCTTAGCCGCACCTTCATGTCAGTCTGCCCCTGCATGGCCGTGACTAGGTCGGGCTGGAGTGCCGCCAGTGCACCTCCTCAGCTCCGGGCTTTCGGTGTTTGCTCAAAGCAGCATCCTAGTGGCCATCAATCTTGCCCTCTGTCTGCAGCATTTCATGCCTCAGCTCATTTACGTTCAACGCCGACATGCCAAAGTGCTAAGTGCTCGATCTGACAATCTCATGCCGATTTGCAGCATGTCGCAACTTGCCCTCTCGTCCTCACCCTTGCCTGCCAGCCCGCAGAGGTTCGCGACATATCCTGAGGGAAGCCAAAAAAAACATGAGATGCAAGGACTTCCGGTTGCTCGACTGCGACAATTGCAGCAGGATCACGGAGGATGGCCTTCGACTGCACCAATTCCGTTCCCTTCAGTGTACGAAGAAGTGGCAAACGCCCGAAGATGAGCGTCGGCTTCAGCTTCTCCCGGAATTCCGGCTCAGGCAGGGCGGTTGTGGGTGGCTTAGTTGATTAGTTGCTTCAGTGCTCCTGCAACAGAGATGCAGCCATGGGTCAGATGTGACGACCTTGAGCATGTAAGGATACCCGGCGTACTCCAAGCACATCTGGGGCAACTGTCCCAGGCTCCGGAGTGCAAAGTAGATCAGCTCAACCTGACATCTCCATTATTACGCTCCAGGACAGACTCCAAACTTCTCGACTGCTTGTGGTCTTGTGCAGCTCTGCTGCGGGCTTGGCTTTTGCAAACTTGCCAATCCCAGGGCCCGCCAGTGTCCAAAGCTGGGGACCCTCGTAGGTGTTTGGAACCTGAGGGCATGGGGGCACCGGAAGGCGGCAAAGCTTTTCTTTTCACATCCGGGCCGGGACGCCATAAGGCCTCCGGCTTCGAAGAGCTGCCGTCTCACTGTCAGCGGGTCGTCGCCATACTTTGCCGCCTTCGCCGGCTTGGCCTTCCTTTCCGAGAACTCCAAAGGCGAATGCTGAACCAAATCTCCGTGCCGGCCAAGCTTCTGTGCACTTGCCGGACGCTTCATCTTTCTAGAGATGCACTGAGATTTGAGCCGATACCCGTATGGACAGAACTTCAGCCGTATTGTCATTGCATACTTCTTCACAGGCTTGTGCCACCGTTTGCCTAGCTATCTGTCAATTCATCTGTGACCTTGTCTCATTCGTGTCCTTTCCTCTGTGCTGTCCTGCTATCTGTTGCCGCCTTGTTCTGAGTTGCCGCTCTCCACAAAACCGGGTGGGTACACATGCAAAAACAGCTCCTACTCTGGTGGGCACTCCAAGCTCAGCACACAGAAGCTACACAAAGACGTCGGGTGGCAAGTAACGGATTATCTTGGGCTAAGTCTTGTGGCAGTAGACATACTCAACGAAGTCAAGAACACTAGGATGAATGTCTTACGGATGACTGTGACGACCTACTTGGGCAGTGGGCAGCACACACACACACACACATACACGCACACGCTTGAATACATGACATCAAAACAAGCAAGCGAACCCACAAACAAACAACCCCCACCCACCCACCCACACACAGACACAGACGAACAGAGACACACAAAGACACACACACACACA